ATCTAATTCAAGACAAGTGGAGAGGATGAAAATTCAAACGTCTCTTTTGTTCTCTCAGGACCTGGACTGGCATTCATTGCATTTCCACAATCTGTGGCTATGATGCCCCTGCCTCAGTTGTGGGCTGTCTGCTTCTTCATCATGCTCATTATGTTGGGGCTGGACACAGTGGTAAGATGAAGAGTACTTCTTACATGATTGAGAACGTGGTCTCTTTTGGACCCCATTGTATTTGATTAATTTAGTCAGTTTGTTGGTCAGTCAACTACTTAGATCCTGAAATATTTTAACTACTACAGTATATAGTATATTTGATGTTTATTTCAACAAATATAATTTATAAATGATTTTTTTTAAGAGTTCGGAGTACAACAAAGCAAATTTAAAATTAGGAAGTCCAGCTGGTCTGGACCTTATGTCTACCTTTGTCAATCTAGAGCTGCTTAAGGTGCAATGTAATGCTGCTTTCAACCATGCACTAAACTCCAGAAATTCTCTGCATTTTCTCTGGAGGGGGTGCATGTGTGAACTCAAAGTGAGAGCTGCCAGATTATTTCTCCACGTGGAAAGTTGGGAGAATGTATTCACAAATGATTCTAACACGTGACAGACATCAAAATTAAAAAACAAATATCTCCTGGTGAAAACGTAGTGTCATACACGAAGATGACACAGGCGAAGATGCCTAGAAAGTTTGTGTTTATCATGTGATCTCCGCAGCGGGGAGAAACGAACTAACTATTTTAGTAACTAAAATAACATTCAAACCATTATTATTTTTAATTCAGTTCTATTTATATAGTGTACATTGTGTTGCTGCACCAAAGACTGACTGGTTGTTACCAACAGACACTCACATGCTACACCTTAATGAAAATAAGCCTGGGCCTGATGCCTGTTTTTTTAAATACTGTGTTGACGTTATTCTCCTTTCTGTCTGTTTTCATGTGTTAGTTTGCAGGTTTGGAAACAATAACATCTTCAGTGATTGACATGTTCCCAGGAACGATGCGCAGACCCTGGCGTAGAGAAATCTTCATCCTCCTCTTTTGCTCTATCTGCTTCATCATTCAGATCCCTCTCACTACTCAGGTACCCAATGATGGTGAAACCTTACCCAAACACAACACCTATCACTAAAACAATTCTTATTTTGCAGGAGTGTTTTAAGTGACACTGTATATTTTTTCTGTTGCCCAGGGAGGAATCTATCTATTCCAGTTGGTTGATTACTATGGTGCGAATGGAGCATGTATATTATTTGTGTCTCTGGTCCAGTGTGTGGCTGTTGGGTGGGCCTTTGGTAAGTGATATAACTCATGGGATTTAAATTTGGAGAAATGCACTGTGTAAATGATATGTTGTGATTTCATTGGTTAAAAGTCAAAGCAGGATAAGAAAGCAGTGTTCTAATACTGGAGCCTCACAAATGGAAGTACAGCTTTACTTAGCACACGACAGGTGTGGAACCCAAATATATCACACAAGATCACAAGATTGTCTACACTAAATA